AATAACAGAGAAATCCAAGATATTAGATATTAACGATATATTAGACATCTCATAATATGTAAAAAATAAGTATATAAGCAGCTTAAAAGCATCTTGAAATAAAATTAACTCTTGGTTCTAAATTAAAGAACTCGGAGTATTTAACTTGTGATTCACTCTTATAATGTTAAACTCTTGGAGTTCAAAAACCTTCGAAATAAGAGTAGATGCGTTGGTCTCTAATAAGTTCCCTTGAAATCGTTAAAAACGTTCATCGATATCGTAGTTTCTTGTCCCTGTGATCATCGTATGCCCAATTTTCGTATTGAATAAGAAAGAAAAAAAGTAACGATTAGTAATCAGACCCTTATATAATAAACGTAAATTGATTAAACTTGTGATTATCTCATTATTAATCGATACCCACGCAACTGATCTGAATCGTGACCTATTGACCACGTGACATCGAGAATCGAACTCACAGCCGCAGTAACCGCTAACTAAAGAAGTATTAGTAAAGTAGTACTGTAAAGAACCCGTGTCTCTCACTTCCGTATTTATCTAATTCATTAAGTTGTCACACACCTTACATAATTGTATCGCCATAGCCATGTTAATCTTACCATTATAGTATTAGGCGTTCTTAGTGGCTTAATCCATGAGAAGTTCTCCTAGTCGCGTAAACGCGACAATTAGACGTATACGTGTGTGAATCAGAATTAGTAGTGTAGCTATTATAACCTTAGCGTAGACATCATGAAAAATGAGAATGTATAAAACGCCCTTAGTTCACCTCTAATGTATGCTCTTTGAAGCCGTCTCTAAATAAAGAATATATAAATATGCATTCTTTTCTATGATAAATGCCTAATAACCATGAAATACAAGCTCCATCATTTTTATTCAGTTATTGTAGACATATTGTACAATTTTTATACTGTGATGTAAAAAAAGAAATTTTGGGTTGACAACAACATTGTACAAAACCGGTACAGTATATGGTACCGAACATTTTTTTGAACAAAACAGAATAACTTTAGAACATTGCCGACAAAATTTGGATAAAATTTTTTTATATGCATATGATGGTTATCCTTCCGTAAATAATTTGATCTCTGACTTCTACGTATTAGAAGAGATTGCCAAGACTCCCTGTTGAGTACCTGTGATCACTTGTGTTACATGAATGTGAGGATACAAAACTTTAAATGTGCGATGATCGAATTACAAAACGTGTGAAAGACTAAAAAAAGAAAATACACGAAAACTCATGTTTAAATCGACTTTAGTGCACTAATTAATAATAACGCGAACGAGATTTTACATATAATAAGTGACAGTTTATCATTATAGCCTCTGATGCTAATATTCTAACTCTAAACTTCTATCTTTACGCATCTAGTTTATTCGCTGAATTAAATTTCTTTTTTTGGTTTGTGCCGTTCGTAAATCCTTAAGTTTTGTTCCGCCACATGCATTATTCAAGACTTTGCGGACGCTCATTACCTAATTTGGTATAACTATACAATATGATAAACTTTAGTAATCTATTTAACAATTTTTTTTAAAAACCATTTAACGTTTGCGGGGGGTTTTTTTTTGAAACATTTCATATTTTCAGAACAAGAACTCTAGAGCATAATATGTCTTCAAATTCTGATCAATATGGGTTTATTGGATTAGGCGCCATGGGGTAAATATATATATTTTTTAATTGTTTTACGGTGCAAGTTAATTATTTATTCTGTCTTCTGTTAAACTTTATTAAAATAGACTTCCAATGGCAATAAACCTTCAAAACTATATTTCATCAAATAATCTCCCCCCATTGATCGTTTACAACCGGACATTTTCCAAAACACAGTCTGTAAAAGAAATTGGAGCTATCGCTGCTACGAGTTTGAAACAAGTCATTGAATATGCTAATATAATTTTTACTTCACTTGCTAATGATGACGCCGTTAATCAGACTTACAATAAAATATTGAAGGAATTAGATCTTATTGATGACTATAATAAGAGAAAAATAATATTTATTGAAACAAGCACTATTTATCCAACTACAATTAGTGCTCTTAGAGAAAAGATCGAGAATGCAAATAATACATTATTGTATTGTCCTGTTTGGGGTCCTCCTCCAGCTGCAAAGGTGCATAAAATATAAAGTAAAATATTACATTGGAATTTAAATTATTTTGTTTATTTAACATCTTTTTCTTAGAATGCTCAACTGTCAGTTATCACTTCTGGCAACCAAGACGCAATTGATTACATACTACCATTATTAGTACCTGTGTTAGGAAAGAGAGCTTTGTCTGCTGGTTTGAAAATTCAAAGATACTTTACCTATATTTAAAGATGCGCTTTCCGATTCTTATTTTATATGATATATTAAATTATTTTACAGGTGATGATGTAAAGAAGGCAGCAAAATTTAAACTAATTGGAAATTTCTTCATTGCTGGTACTTGTGAATTATTATCAGAAGGAATTACTTTCGCAGAAAAATCTGGTGTTGAAAAAGAAATGTTCATGGAATTTCTTTCCTCCGTGTATTCACCGAATGTTTATATACGTTATGGTAATTAAAATTATTAATTCTTCAATGTCTGAAAAGAATTTTATAAACTTATTTTCTTAATATTTACAGGAACAAAAATGATGGAAGAAAAATTTGATACAGATATTGGATTCTCTGTTGCTAACGCATTAAAAGATCTTGGGTAATATTTTCTATTGAATTTCTTATTTACAATTATGTTTATCTAATAACTTTTTTGATTTATATACTATTTGCATCTATTTTATTTATTTATAAACATGATAGACATATTCAGAAAATCGCAAAAGATTCAGGTGCGCATCTGCCACTAGCAGATTTAGTGTCTAAAAATTTGAATTATGTAAAAGATAATGTATCAGGTGGAAATGATTATGATTGGAGCAGTATGATTGGTGCTTTAAGAGTTGGTAAATATTATCAATTGTTTATCATATTTTTAATATC